GGGTTGTCTTCTCCAAACGACCCATTGCCATTGTTCTTCTTCTGCAACAGAGAACCAAAAATAGACCCCCCTTTTCGTTTTAATTTCCTTGAGCAACCATGAACAAGGAAGCAGCCATAAACAGTGCCTCTTAGCTTTCTTCTTCTTCTCTAGTGAACACCACCAAAACCTTAGGGACCTAAGCTTCTTCTTCAACCAACACAAACGACCCCTTCATTGCTGATCGGCCTTCTTCAACAGAACAGTGACGAGTTCGCCAAAAAACGAGTTGAAAAGACCACCAACATCTCCTTACTCACGTCGTCATACCACCCTTCATCCCTCTCTGTATTCTTTCTTCAACCATGACATACCTCCTTGACCAAGAAAGCCCTCCATCGTCGTAGCTTCCCATTACAACACACACACACACATAGCTGCAACGGGAGGGCAACATCAGTGAAAGATCAGGAGTGAAAGGGAGGTGACGAGTGGTGTTCGAAAAGTCGATGAAACAGTAGTCTCGATATAGGTTCATCCGAGTTGTCCGTCTGCGAAGCCGAGGTGTCGTACAAGTTTGTCGATAACGGTTCTGATCTCAGTTCATTCGAAAGACTTCTCTGAATTTTGGTTTAGAGGTAAATTCCCATGCTTCATGTTTTGGAGATTTTTTGCCTAATTATGTTTCAGAAATGAAAAGATTAGATTCGTTGCTTATCTTATCCCCTGCAATTTCTTCTTTCTCTTTATGAATGTGAGTCTATGCTGAAATTTTGCTTAGATGTTTTGGTCCTAGAGCCATATATTTAGAGTTCTTAATTCCATTTGTTCACTAGTTGTGATACATGCTTATATTTATTTCTGTTAAAGCATCAATAACTTTTAGGATCCTGATTGTGTTGCTATTTGAGTTACATTAGTGGTATTTTAAGCTTTAAAATGAATCGAACAATTAGAGCTCTTGATATTTAGGCTACTGTAATGGTAACTGATGAATGGGCCACACGAGTTTAAAACTCTCCGGCTCAATGACTGTTTTGTTCGCCTAATTGGTTTGGCCTAACTGTCAGTAAGGCTACAAACTAGCCCACGTTTCCGATACTAATTTATTTTGTTCCTTCCACAATAATTTCCGTGACACGTGGCTCTCACAAATGTTGCTATTGAAAATTGAATTTTGTAGTTTGCTTTAGGAGCGTTCCTTAAATTGATTTTCTTTAATTACTAATTTCGGGTGTGCATTTCATGTGACTCAAATCCAAATCCCAACAACGTTGAATAAAATATGTCGCGGATTGCGGTGCATTTCATGTAGTGCGATCCAAAGACATGTTTTGAACGACGTTCAATCTTCCTTAAAAATTGAATAAAAGCGGTTAAAAAGCTAAAATCGGCACATAGTTTCATAATTGATTAAAATCAGATAAATAAGCTGAATATAGCAGTTAGGAGACCGTGCTAGAACCACGGAACTCGGGAATGCCTAACACCTTCTCCCGGGTTAACAGAATTCCTTACCCGGATTTCTGGTTCGCGGACTGTATTACAGAGTCAACCTTTTCCTCGACTCGGGATTCGAACCGGCGACTTGGGACACCATAAATCTCCCAAGTGGCAACTCTGAATTTCTTAATATAAATCCCGTTTCGATTGTCTTTTAATTGGAAAAATTCTTTTATACTCCCTTACGTGGTGTAAGTGAAAAAAGGAGGTGTGACAATCACCTAGTGTTTTTTTGCATCCATTGGGATTTGAACCTAAGATCTTATGGTTCTCACTCATTTCATTGACCACTAGGCCACACCTTTGGATGCTAATGCTAGTAACATTTCTGAGACGTCCTAGTACGAACGGAGCCTCGAAGTAACTTGGGAATTGAAGGATAATCGGCACAATAAGAAAATTGGCGAAGCTCACACTTGCAAGTTTTATCATATTTTTGCTGTCAACACTGAAAACATAAGGGATTTGCAGTAATGCAAATTTAATATCAATGAACAAATAAAAGACAAGGGAAGTCTCAATCACCAGAATTCCTAATTCTTATAGAGATTTGACCATCAAATACCGATTGATTAATTTATTCCTGGAAATAGAAACTTTCCTATTGCAGAATTCTGAGCATAAAGAAAGATCAAATTCTTTGGTTTCTTATGCTTTTTTTTTTGTTAGTTCAAATGTACCAAGCTATCAATCAGTCAACAAACACAACCCTCCCTCTTGAGAAGAACCAAGTACGTACCCCAATATTGTTTCTAATCTTTCTTTTAGAGAAATGTGAAATTGCGGTAACTGAATCCAATGTGCATCAGGATGAAAAAAAGAAAGCAACAAAAGACTAATGGTGTGTTTGGTACGAAGTAAATATTTTCCGAAAAATATTTTCCAATTTTTTCATGTTTGGTTGGCTTAAATGTTTTGAAAAATATTTTCCTTTTGAACCCATTGGAGTAAAATGTTTTCCTTATCAACACAAGGAAAAACATTTTCCAAAACTCCTTCTCAACCTTCCCCCCTACGCACCCAACCCCCTCTCCAAAAGGCTCTTTTTTTTTTANGGTTTGGCCCAACTGTCAGTAAGGCTACAAACTAGCCCACGTTTCCGACACTAATTTATTTTGTCCCTTCCACAATAATTTCCGTGACACGTGGCTCTCACAGATGTTGCTATTGAAAGTTGAATCTCCATAGTTTGCTTTAGGAGCATTCCTTAAATTGATTTTCTTTAATTACCAATTTCGGGTGTGCATTTCATGTGACCCAAATCCAAATCCCAACAATGTTGAATAAAATATGTCACGGATTGCGGGTGCATTTCATGTGGCGCGATCCAAAGACATGTTTTGAACGACATTCAATCTTCCTTAAAAATAAAGCGGTTATAAAGCTAAAATCGGCACATAGTTTCATAATTGATTTAAATCAGATAAATAAGTTGAATATAACAGTTAGGCGACCGTGCTAGAACCACGGAACTCGGGAATGCCTAACAGCTTCTCCCGGATTAACAGAATTCCTTACCTGGATTTTTGGTTCGCGGACTGTATTACAGAGTCAACCTTTTCCTCGACTCGGGATTCGAACCGGTGACTTGGGACACCATAAATCTCCCAAGTGGCAACTCTGAATTTCTTAATATAAATCCCGTTTCGATTGTCTTTTAATTGGAAAAATTCCTTTATACTCCCTTACGTGGTGTAAGTGANCCCCCATCCCACCTCCCCCCGGAAAAAATATTTTTTTAATATATTTTCAGTTTTACTTTTTTCATCTTTCGGATTATAGGTTCGAAATTTTACAAGTTCCAAAGTTATGAGTTTGGATGTTTACGGGTTTAGAAATATTTATAAAATTTACGGGTTCGAAAGTTCGCAGTTTCGAAAGTTTAGCGGTTCGGAAGTTTATGAAATTTGTAGGCTCAGAAGGTTGTTGGTTCGAAAATTTATGGCTTCATATTTATTGTATCTAAATTAATTATGAATACTCTTGAAACGTTATTTTCCTTAATTTGTATATCAAATACCGGAAAATGAATAAGATTACTACTTGTTTTCCAAAAAAATATTTTCTTGAATAACATTTTCCGTTATACCAAACACATCCTAAATCTCCGGTTTAGTTCTAAAATACATCATAATGTCAAATGAGAATGGAAAAAAGTATAGGTTAGAGAAAAACAGAAGTGGGAAAAGTCAGACAAACAATGATTGAAATCAGAGATGGCCAACGAAAGGAACTAAATCAAAGTAAGTCCAAACTGTGAAATAGATCATATCTTTATATAAAAAGAACATAAAACACTCGTATACAATATAATGACCGGCGAAACATGGCACATCAAATACGACAAATGAATTCATATTCTACACCTAGCAGAAAGTATCCAGTATGCTCTTCCAAACTTTCTCCACGTCATGGCCCATGCAGCAAACTTCATAGACTGAGATAGCAATCTCAAAGCTTCAATTTGGGTACTTTTTAATAGAGTGAACGTAATTACTCAAGGAGTAGAGGGTTTGTATGATGGAGAAAGTGAAGGAAAAGTTAGTTTAGGCAGTTCGGGGATTTTAGGCTTTGGCATAGCTGGAACTTCTGGTTTAGGAAGTTCGGGGATTTTAGGCTTTGGAAGCTCTGGGAGTTTTGGCTTTGGCAGCTCTGGGATTTCTGGTTTTGGCAAAGCTGGAACTTCAGGCTTTCTTATAGTTGGAGGAACCTCCGTCTTTGGCACTGCTGGGATTTCTGGCTTTTTCAAGGGAGGAAACTCGGGTTTTGGCATTGCTGGAATTTCAGGCTTTGGCATAGCAGGAAGCTCGGGTTTTGGCACAGCTGGGATCTCATGCTTTGGCAAAGTTGGAGGCTTTGGGGCAGCTGGTATCTCGGGCTTAGGCATAGTAGGTACTTCAGGCTTTGGCAAAGTTGGTAACTCAGGTTTTTGGATGGTTGGTAGCTCAGGCTTTGGCACAGTTGGTACTTCAGGCTTTTGGATGGTTGGTAGCTCAGACTTTGGCACAGTTGGTACTTCAGGCTTTGGTAAAGTTGGTAACTCAGGCTTTGGGACAGTTGGTAGCTTGGCCTTTGGCACAATTGGTACTTCAGGCTTTGGTAAAGTTGGTAACTCAGGCTTCGGGATGGATGGTAGCTCGGGCTTTGGCACAGTTGGTACTTCAGGTTTTGGCATAATAGGAATCTCAGGCTTTGGGACAGCTGGCATTTCAGGCTTTGGGACAGCTGGTATTTCAGGCTTTGGGATGGTTGGAAGCTCAGGTTTCGGCACAGTTGGGATCTCAGGCTTTGGTATGGCTGGAATCTCAGGTTTCGGCACAGTTGGGATCTCAGGCTTTGGCAAGGTTGGAACTTTTGGTAATTCTGGTTTAGGAATCTCAGGGAGGGGTGTCTCTAGTAGGCGCCGTGCAGTTGCACCAATTATGGGGCCATGCATGAAGCACAAGTTGAGAAATGCAAGTAGTAAGAGGGAGGATAGCTGGTAATGGTGAGCCATTTTTCTGCAGATCCTAGAAGCTTGAAGAAGAAAGTGTAGAGTTAATGAAACTGGGATGTGTTATTGGCTTTAAGTCTATTGCTATATATAGGTTTTAAAATGCATGCAGCAATTGCTTCATGATTTTGTTTGTTACGTAAGGACCTAATAAGTAGTTGAACTTCTCATCCACTTGGCTTAATCTCTGGTACCTCAAAAAGTCAATGTGGATTACCTAATAACATATTAAAAGTCTGAACCTGTCACAAATATATGGTATGCTGGCAACCTGATACCAATTCCCAGTTTAGCTGTACTTATTTCTCTAGAAAGAGAAAAGTCATTGTTTCACATTTACTGTAAATCTTCATTTTGGTATGTACCTAATGGCTCTATCACCTGAGGAAATTGACAGAAATTACAAATGTCAAACAAAAAGGTATTGCTTCTCAAGGGAGTAATGTTTTAACGGTTAATATGACCATTAGAGGATGCAAACATGATGAAATGGACGACCAGAAGTGGGGAAAATGGTAAACTTACCTCATTAGTCACATATTACCCGTTATTCTATTTTCTAAACTAGCTAATATTAGAATTGTAAGTACAAAGGTAGGCAAAAGAATGACACTCAAGCCTAACGGATTAAAACAGAGGGAAAAAGGAACTTGGTTTTACAGAGTACAAACTTACCACAATGGCGTAGACTTAGCATAATCCGATTATTCTTTTGGTTCAAAATTCAAATGATAGACTTTTGACAGTTTATACGATTTTCCAGGAAATGAAAATAGACAATAGCTGAAACAATAGCATATCAAATCCAGACTCGTGAATAGTTGCATTGCATATACTATAGCATTGGTTTCGATATTGAGCCAGGTAAAATAACAATGAGGCAGCAGTACAGAAAGCAGACGGCAGAAGGTTCTTTTACAATTAGTAAACGGATCTCGCGCTTGACAGTTATATCACATTCAGCCTTTGATCAAAGAAACAATGAGATTGTTAATACAAGTAAATTCAGACAAAAACATAAACAGGGTATTAGAAGAGATTCAGCTACACAGTTCCCGATTTCTAATGGAGACAACATTATACACTCTAGAGTTCTTCTCATAACCATGAGTGTACTGCTCAAAGGTACAGTCTATATATATATAGTCGTTGTAGCTACCCTGATCGTCTGAGCTCTGCTTCAGCTTTTGTCTTTAATCCGTGGGAAAGGTTAGGAAGTTCACCGAAAGAGATTGATTGTTTACTAGAAATAGAAATATGTATATTGGTTTAGTGCTGGAGATATGAAAAAGGAAAAAAAAAAGATAATTCAAAAGGTCACAATTATTGAAGATTTGATTAAGTAAATGAAAATGTACCCTTCCTAACAATTTATGTTTTTAGATGAAATAGTCACAATTCAACATGAATTAGAGCAGATAGAGTCCTAGATTCAAAACAAACCACCACCTATTATTAAAAAAATTTCCATAATGTTGGGGAATAACTTGAATATTAGATGAGATAGTCGCACAATAAAGTGTTAAGAGATTTTTTTGTAATAAGGAATGTGTTAGAGAAATTTTAGCTAGTTCATATGTCCATAACTATCCATTGCTCCACAAGCACAATCTCCCTCTTGAGAGAAACCAGGTATCCCCATTGTCTTTTATGTTTCTTTTAGAGCATGCAAAATTGTGGTAACTGAATCCGTTGTGCATTAGGATGAATGAGACAGAAAGCAACAAATGCTTGAATATTCACTTTAGTTCTTGCATTTGAGATCACTGATTATTCTACCGGCGCTTAAATATGTTAAATCATCCTTTCCATCTCTTTGTGAAGGAAGAAAGTGGTAATAGGTTTTAAATAAACGAAGGGGAGTAGGGGGGAAAACGATTGAGCAAAATCAGATAGCCAACGGTAGGAACTAAATAAAAGTGACTCTAGAAAGTGACATAGATTATAGCTTTATAACACTGTATAAAAAGTTCATAAAACACTCATATAGTATATAATGACACGATAAACATGGTACATCCAATACAAATATTATAAAAGAATCATAATTTCTACTCCCTAGAGAAAGTATCCAATATGTTGTGCCAAACTATCTCCATGTCATGTCCACGCAGCAAACTTCATGGACCAAGATGGAAATCTCAAAACACAGTTGGGTACCTTCTAATAGAGTGAACAGTATTATAATTACTCAAGGAGTAGCGGGTTTGTGTGGTGGAGAAAGTGAAGGAAAAGATATCTCTTTTGGTTTAGGCAGTTCTGGGATTTCAGGCTTTGGCATAGCTGGGACTTCTAGCTTTGGAAGCTCTGGTAGTTTTGGCTTTGGTAGCTCCGGGATTTTTGTCTTTGGTAGTTCCGGGATTTCTGGCTTTGGCACAATTGGTACCTCGGGCTTTGGCAAAGCTGGAACTTCAGGCTTTTTCACAGCTGGAGGAACCTCGGTCTTTGGCACTGTTGGGATTTCTGGCTTTGGCACAATTGGTACCTCGGGCTTTGGCAAAGCTGGAACTTCAGGCTTTTTCACAGCTGGAGGAACCTCGGTCTTTGGCACTGTTGGGATTTCTGGCTTTGGCACAATTGGTACCTCGGGCTTTGGCAAAGCTGGAACTTCAGGCTTTTTCACAGCTGGAGGAACCTCGGTCTTTGGCACTGTTGGGATTTCTGGCTTTGGCACAATTGGTACCTCGGGCTTTGGCAAAGCTGGAACTTCAGGCTTTTTCATAGCTGGAGGAACCTCAGTCTTTGGCACTGTTGGGATTTCTGGCTTTTTTAGGGGAGGAAGCTCGGGTTTTGGCATTGCTGGGATCTCAGGCTTTGACACAGCAGGAAGCTCAGGTTTTGGGGCAACTGGTAACTTAGGCTTGGGCACAGCTGGGATCTCAGGCTTTGGTAACGTTGGTAACTCAGGCTTCGGGATAGATGGTAGCTCGGGCTTTGGCACAGTTGTTACTTCAGGTTTTGGGATAATAGGAATCTCTGGCTTTGGAACAGCTGGTATTTCAGGCTTTGGTATGGTTGGAAGCTCAGGCTTCGGCACAGTTGGGATCTCAAGCTTTGGCAAGGTTGGAACTTTAGGGAACTCTGGTTTAGGAATCTCGGGGAGGGGCATCTCTAGAAGACGACGTGCAGTTGCTCCAGTTATCGGGCCATGGATGAAGCACAAGTTGAGAAATGCAAGCAGTAAGAGGGAGGATAGCTGGTAATGGTGAGCCATTTTTCTGCAAATCCTAGAAGCTTAAAGAAGAATGCTTATAGAATCAATGAAACTCAGATATGTGTTATTGGCTTTAAGTCTATTGCTATATATAGGTTTTTAGTGCAAGCAAAACATTAGTTTAAAGATTTTGTTTGTTACGTAAGGACCTATGTAGTTGAACTTCCCATCCATTTGGCTTCATGTCTGGTACCTTAAAAAGTCAATTTATTGGATTACCTAATTAACATACTAATAGTCTGAACCTGTCACAAACATCTGGTATGCTGGCAACCTGATAACAATTCTCAGCTTAGCTGTTCTTATTTCTTTATAAAGAGAAAAGAACGGGTAATGAAAAATGGATCAATTATCCAATCCGACCCATTTTTAATACGGATAAAAACGGATTAGCCGGTGGATAATATGGTTAACCATATTATCCATGACTTCTTGCATATGATCACTTTTGAGAGAATTTTTAGTCTCCCTAACTTGAGGAACCCCCAATTTGAGGCTTTACAAATGTAAAAGTTAGACCTATTGAATATCAATTGGTTACCCATTGGTTATCCATTTTCTAAATGGATAATATGTTTCTTATCCGTATTTAACCCGTTTTTAAAAACTTCATTATCCAACCCATTTTCTAGTGGATAATATATATGGGTGGTTAACTGTTTTCTTTTAACCATTTTGCAACCCCTAATTACAAATGTCAAACAGAAAGGTATTGCTTCACATTTTCTATCGAGCTAAAGGGAGTAATAATGCTTTAACGGGGTTAATATGACCATTAGAGGATGCAACATGAATAGTTGCATTGCATATAGCATTGGCCTCGATCTGGAGCCAGGTAAAATAACAATGAGGCGGCTGTATAGAAAGTAGACAGCAATTATAATTGGTAAAAGGATCTCGTGCTTGACAGTTATATCACATGTAGCCTTTCAGCAAAGAAACAATGAGATTTTTTTACAAGTAAATTGACACAAATACATAAACAGGGTATTAGAAGAGATTCAGCTACAAAGTTCCCGATTTGTAATAGAGACAAGATTATCACTCTAGTGTTCTTCCCACAACCATGAGTGCACTGCTTAAAGATACAATCTATATAGTCGATGCAGCTACCCTGAAGTATGAGCTGCTGAGAAGGGAAAAAGATAGATTCAAAAGGTCATGATTACTGAAAATAGGATTAAATAAATGAAATTTTACCCTCTCGTACGGTTTGTGCTGAGGTGTCATTTGTGGTTTTAATGTTATGTTGTGGGATTTGACGCCTCGAGTAGGTCCGTGTTATATTTTGGGACTTGCTGGTATGATTTGACGGGGTCCTAAGGGGTGTGGGTATTTTTTGGATCATTGGTGGAGAAACTAGTTAAGTTAAGAAATTTGAAGTTTGACTGTCACGACCCAAACCAAAGGGCTACGACGGACACCCGATACCTTACTCAACCGGGTACCAACATAACATATCTTTCTTATCGTACTATCATGGGTAAATGTCCCAAAAGGGTCGTCATGAGATAAACAGAATAAAACATAAGTTAACGCTAGACATAAGAACTTATACATGTGAAATACGTGCAAATAAGACCAAAATGATCACTCATACACTGAACATGGGCCGACAAGGCCATACAATTTTCATATACATGACATCTGTTTACAAGCCTCTAAGAGTACATACACAACATAAAGGTCGGGACAGGGCCCCGCCATACCAATCAATACATATCCAAAGCATACTGACCAAATAGGCAACTCCGGAACAAGTGGAGTGTACTAATACTTCCGCTGAGCTGATAGCCTACTTGGAGGACTGTCAACCTATCAATCGGGACCTGCGGGCATGAAACGCAGTGTCCCCAGGCAAAAAGGACGTCACTACAAATAAAGTACCGAGTATGTAAGGCAGGAAAGCATAAACAAGAACAGTAATATAAAGAGAGATAGAGGAGATACAATCTGTAACATCTGAGTGCCTCTGGGGGCTACTGATATGAAACACATAATACATATATATACATAAACTTTAAAAAATATTTGACTCTGTGGGCGTCATCATCATCATATCGTACCCGGCCTCAAAGAGGACTCGGTAAAAATGTACCGGGCCGTCATAAGGCTTGGTAGAATCGTACCCGGCCACGTGGAGCTCGTTAAACCCAACTGATCAGTGGTTGCACAATAAGTGTCGTACCCGACCGACTATAGCGCGGCTTGGTAGAGTAAAATATATACTATATATAATGCATGCTTGACTCATGGAATCACGTTCTAAACCTTTCGAAGTGACTTAAGGTCGTTGCACCTTTAGTTAACATTATGGACATCCATACCCTCAATATGAACCTCAGTAGGATTTAAGGTCATACACACTTGCTTAGAATAATTTTATAAGAAAAGAACAACATGAACAACCTTAGTTCCTAGGAGTAGATCCGTTATGAATTAGCGTATCGTTTATGTTCCTATCGCTTTAGATCATGCCAAAAAAAATAAGTAAGTGCCTTAACATACTTTATCACAATCTTTCCAATCACCAAGTTGAACTCGCCTCTTCGCACCTTAATCTACAACAATGATAATAATACTATAATCAAGTTATGATAGGTATAACTATCGCACAATGGACGACAAGCTTATTTTGTATAAAAACGGGCAGCATCTCCCCTATAATCCTTACTTCCTCCAAATTCAAGATAACTCCAACAACACAATAAAAACATATATACATTATTTTCCAACCTTATATTACACCATCAAATACTACAAAACAGCCCAATACACTCCAACCTTTTCATACACAAAACGACCACCGTACTAGTGTCAAACGACCCGGAAATGTTACGACAAACGACAAGCCCATCACCCTACATCTATATGGTGTTTCTCCACAACCTTCCTCCTCCAAAACTCCACAAAATAGTAGTAAAACACGCAGCCCAACAGCAACACAAAATAATCCACAAAACAATCCGCTACAAGTGAATAACTCGAACTCATGGCTTCCAATCACCATCCCGTGAGTTCTTACAAGTATAGAACGACATACCATGAACTTACAACAGAAAAAATGGATGAAAGAGAGCAGTAAACTTACCATATTTATTGGATAACTCAGCCCTTATCTTGGTTCTTCAAACTCTAGGTTTTACTCCCAATTAGAACTTGAAAGGAAGAGAAAATCAATTAGGGTTTGTAGGTAATTTTTGGGAAGAAGTTTGCAGGGGTTGAGGTCTGGTTATTTATGATATATAATGAAGTTTATATTTCAGGAGATAAGCCCTTAAATGGGTTATTTGGCTGACCCGAAATTGCCTCTTTTTGGATTCTCATTTAACCAAGTAGGTGACACACCTACTTGTCACCTAGCATCCTGCGCAGTCTCGCAAAATTGCATATATCTCTCTACTCCGATATTGTATTTATAAACAATTTAATACGTGAGAAAATAGACTCATAGAGATTCAATTTAATGGGTGGAACACCCTATAACTCTAAGTATATTGGGATAAAATCGCAGTTATATTTGACCTAAGTTTCAACACATTTATCAATGTAACTTGTGATGACCTTTTTCAACTTTTGTTCCACAACTCGCTTGACTTCAAATCATAACACACGTTTATCATACGACTAAAATAACTCATAAAATAATCTCCTTATAATTTTAAATACTGTATTCTCGCCGCAAAAGTACATGTTACAATATTCCCAACTTGTCGACTTTCGACGAAACCTATTTTCTTCAATTCATTTAGGTTCTAAGCCTTCAAACCCTCTTGGTACTTGGTATTCATGATCTTAAATATTTTTAACCTCCATTGTAACATGATTAACTTACTTTATGTACTTTCAAAGTTGATTTCATTTCTGAGCTTGCATCAATTGACTTACGAATACCCTCATGTACGAAAACATGGGGTGTAACATTGACCATGGTCAATATCGGGTCAAGACGACCTCTTTTCAGTATTTTGAGTGTGCAATAAGGCCCATAGCGTGTTTTATGATTGAAATGCATATATGGTTTGTGTTCGGGAGGTTCCAGATGAATTTCGGGGTGGTTTAGGATCATTTCGGTGAAGTTTGGAATTGCTGGTTCTGGTACTAAACAATTGCAAACTTTTTGTTGCAATTGCGAACTACCTCATTTGCGAACTTCTGGTCGCAATTGCGAGCCCACAGTTTTGAACCTGTGGTCGCATTGCAGATTTTTTGTCGTAAATGCAATATCTGCAACTAGGTTAAGATTTGGAATTTCGGGATTTTAGCTCATTCTTTCATATTTTGAACCCTAGACTTAGTAAGAGGTGATTTTTTCAAATTTTCAAATTTCAAACTTACACTGAACACCTCTAAACAACTCGAAACCAGCTCAAATATTGCACACAAGTTTCAAATGACACAACGAACATATTCCAACTTCCGGAATAACAATCCGAGCCCAATAACTCCGAAGTCAACTCCTGGTCAAACCTTTGAACTTTCTTGACCTTCAAATTGCCAACTTTCGCGAAATAGTGCCAAAACCTTCTAGAAATATCTAAATACAAATCCGGGCGTCCAAAATCACCATCCATCCGGACCTAATGAAATCATAAAAACTCCGATCCAATGTTAATTTCACAAAAGTCAAACTCGATTAACCCTTTCAACTTAAAGCTTCAAAATTGAGAATCATTCTTCCAAATCAATCCCGAATCACTCGAAAACTAAAATCGATGATACACATAAGTCAATATACACCACATGAAGCTACTCATGACCTCAAACCATTGAACGGAATACAAATGTTCAACACAACCGGCTGGATCATTACAGACTAGTCATGTTTGCACGGCATCTCCTTCATCTGATTGTCAAAAGTTTGAACATTTCATTGGCCGGAATCAGTTAGTTAAAACAATTTGTCTGCAAAATCGTGTAATGCTCAATAGGCTACCATCCGAATCTAGCAAGTATCACAAATGCAAAATTTTGGTGGTCTTATGATCACTGCCTTGCCTTCTCATTTGACATTTTCTATACTTTATTAGTAATTACGGGTACTATGTGAAAGCAGAATACAAAAGATATGTAAGAGAAAAATCATAAATAATTTCATTCACTACTTATTTGGCAGTAGACCAGTACAGTGCATGACGAATTTTCCTCTGTATAAGTGTTTAATTCCCTATGAATATAGAGAAACAAAATAACGTAGTCATTTTGAAATTAGGAGGATGCAAGGAGCTGCCTGACATTCATAGGCGAAATATCAGGAGAGTTTCCGTCCAGCAGGCGTTTTGCTATGATGACATTAGCTGCATCAGTTGGATGGTATGGATCCCAGAACACAAACTTGCTTCTATTTGCACATATTTTAGATGAAGGACCACATGGAATTATTCCCCCAAATCTTCCACCACCAGAACAGCAAGCTGAATCTGCATTCTCAAATCCTACATATAACAATATCCACCATCAAATTATATTACCTGAATCTTGAAAATTATGACCTAATATCTTGATATCTCCGGAGAAATGGGGCTAGAGTTTGGGTAAAACTATTCTGTTGTCTAATTAAATCACTTCAGCCTAGTTGGGGTCACGTGCTGCACCAAACTAATAAATGAGCTAGTGTTCAAGTCATGCCCTATGCTAGAACATTACTTCAGTTTTAAGTGCATTCACTTGGTGCAAGCCGGGGATACAGCCTCTTGCACAAATGCAGGGTTAGGCTACGTACAATAAACCCTTTTGGTTCTTTCCTTCCCCGGACCCCGCGTATAGCGGGAGCTTAGTGCATCGGGACTTGGTGCGAGTAGGTGTTTTACCTAGGGCAGGCCTGATTTCACGATCCACATATTATTGAAGACACGATAAAACATAGGGGTTTCTAATTAATCTTTGATAGTAGAACTCACCATAAGATGTGTAATTCTGAATGATGTCTTGGACGATTCCGTAGGCATCTGCATAGACAAACTTTGATCCAGTAAGTTTGGAACTTAGTTCACTCACAAGCCCTCTCAATTGGGTGTTGTATAATTGCGCAAGCACATTTGGGAAATTTACGCAGTTATCTCCAGCTGATAGATTTATTTCCCTTTGGTAGGGGATACACCCAATAGGCCCAACATTCACCACTATTACTTTCCTGGCACCCAAATTATAAAGTCTCTGCATATGGTTTTGAACAAGAATCATCATGTCAGCATTCTACTTTGTGTTATAGCACTTGTAGTAGTCAACATTAATAAATTCACAATTTACCGTTAGTTGAATTCTGTATTTGGATATCACTGCTCCCACAAATTTCATAGGAGGTACAGTTAGTTGCTCAGCTGTGGAGAGAACAGGCGTGAGATAATTGTTAATGAGGTCATTTGATCCCATAGTTACTGAGAAGAGTGAATTCTCAATCAACTTTATCGCCGCTGGCTCTCCTATTCTTGTGATTATGTCCTGTCTAGTATTTGCAAAATTGTCTAATTGAGCATCCATGTTGATCCTTCCACCCTACCAATATTTAGAAAAAAAAAACCCCATTTTAATCAATATCCAATAAAACACACAAAAATAAAAACAAATCTTGGAGCACTCCCATCTGATTACATAATCCTCCTTTTGACTTGACATACTCGTGCATAACAGACCTAACATGATTATATGACTACTCAATGCAGATTCTTCACAAAACAATTTTTTTACATATTCTTGTATTGCGAGATAAGTTATACCAAGATTTTGATATAAAATAATACCTCCAATCAAATACAAATAAATTTAATCCCTTATACGGAAATAACCCACATAATCCCTTGAATCAAACGGCCATTCAATTAAACAATACATGCCTAACATTTCAAAACGCACGTTTTGCAAGTGTTAGATACAGAGGTATACAAAAGCATTGAGAATAATAAGGAAAAATTCGAAGCTAAACAACCAATAGAAAATCGGGGAAAATTAAGGACTTACAAAAATTTGGCCAGATTCATTAAGAATGCCTCCTCCTCCAGAAGCATAATTGACACCTTGCAGAATCACTGGTCCACATGTTGTTGGTGCTAAGTATGGAGGAGTCAAATTAAACCCCACTTCCTCACCTGCAAATCCATTCAAATAAAATCATCCAAAATAAGAAGAAGAAAATACTACTACTAAATAAAGGGAGAGATTTTGAGCAAGATTAAACTTGCCTAAAATGTCCACTATAGTTCTTCCATTTGTATATCTTCCCGTTGGGGCACCAAAATCAATACCATTTGGGAAGAAATTTGCTTTTGAAAGAGAAGTAATATAGTTATTGTTACCCACATCAACCAATGAATCTCCAAAGACAAAATTAGCAGGGACATTTTCTGCCAAACAGATGGTCAAGTTCTGAAGCAAAACTCCCAAAATGGCCAACCTATAATATGATGGATTTCCCATTTCAAGAATGTGGAGGCTTCTTTCAGTAGGAGAAAGCAAGTTCTGTTTAATGGACCAACAAGGCAAATCAAAGACACACACACACCCACCAATAGAAAGAGGAAAAATTGCAGAGAATTAAAAGCAAATAAGCTTTTAGCTCACAATTTCAGTGGACATGACTATAGTCACTATATTACTTATGAACTTAGGATGGGCCAGCAAACAATTAAAAGAAGAGCAGCTTATAGCTCATATATTAAAACTAAACCTATGAAATTAGGATGGGCTAGAAATAAAGAATTAAATTAAGGGAAGCTTCAAGAGACATTTGGTCATAGTTGGGGACGAATTAACTGAAAAGGGACATTCTCCTCACAGCTAGGCTTAACTCAACAATATGATAAAAGTATAGAAAACGGAGCTTGAAATAGATATAACAAGCAGTGTGAAAGTTGGTGGAGAAGAACTCATTAAATGCCTAGCAGAATTAGCACTACCAATCAGAGAAATTTCTGATATGTTGGAGCCAATCTTGAGCCAGAATGCAATCCCCAAAAGAGAAACAGAACCAATAAATATTACTTCTACTAGTGGATTTCTGTCCAAGTTCGGAAATTCATAATTTTTGTTGGTGGTAAGAAAATAAATTATGCAACTGCCAACCTTCAGATTCTGAACCAATTGGATGGCACACTACGTGCAATTGAATGCAGTCACTTAATTTTACAGTATGGATAGTAATACTTTTGACTTACAAATTCCACCAAGTTGACACCAACTCATGTTTTTTATTCGTACAATTATTATTAACAGCAGAATCTTGAAAATCTTAAGAGAAAAATGTCTTCATTTTGTACAACTGCATTAAGTCAAGTGGATCGATACCGTTTAAGCAACTTGGTATGAATCTCTGAGGCATATGCTTAATGTTCATTTTAAATAGAGCTTCACATTATCACTTTCGCAAAATGGTGAAAGTATCTATTTGATCATCATTATACTTTTTGTTCACATTTATCTAACCCTAAATTTAAGAGTTAATAGTTAAGACCCAAAAACTCCTTAAACTATTATGTTTTTATCAGTTTTCTATTTAAATTATTCGGTGACTCCAAAACCCCCTAAACTATATTACCCTTCATATTTTAACCCCATAATTACTTACATGACATAACATGTATAGTAACTCGCTTGGAAGCGTGTGTCAGCTGAAAAAAACCTTCAAAATGGTCCACCTACAGAATATAATGGAGAAAATTTTACATAAGAACATCTGAGCTCCCTATTTTTCAATTTTATAGCCCATATTTCAATTTACAACCAACTAGCCCAAAAATAATAGGCTAAGATTCAACATTCAACTCCAATAGGTACTAAAAATTACTATTTAATTTTTAAAAAAGATTGCTCAAGCTTTTATGTTAATTTTCGAATCAGTAACTGTGACTCAAATATTAGTTCAACAAACCAAATCCATTTGGATGGTGAAAATTAATTTTTTAACAAGCTTAAACATGTGGGTTTAAATTTCGAATTTGATTTTGTGAGAAATTTGGAGTGGGTGTTATCTAGACTTATTAGAAATAGTATAAGGAGGTTGTATATAAAATTTGAAGTCATTTAATGGACATTTGGATTGATTTTGAACAAGAATTGCAACTGAAAATCGTGGAAGAAGTTCGTCTACAGACCCTTGTATAAAGGTGTATAAGATGTGTTTATACACTCATATACACTATTATACAAGATTATACATAATTATACAAAAAACTGATTTCATCTTGTTCCTTGCGTCTTTTCTAAAATTCAACTCAAATCTTGCTCAAATCTACTCCAAATCACTTCAAATTTAAATTTTGAACTCCTTTTGATATTTTCAATCAATTGGAACAACGCTGAATCCAAACAACTAACAAACTCAAAAAATCCTATTTTCAAAAGCAAAGCTTTAAATGGCCTTCAATGGTGGACTTCTGTCACGACCCAAACCGAAGGGCCGCGACGGGCACCCGGTGCCTTATTAAACCGAGTACCAACTTAACATATCTTTCCTATTATACTATCTTGAGTAAATGAGCCAGAAACCCGTCATGAGATAACAAGAATAAAACATAAAGGAATACTAGACATATGACAACCCAATATGATGTAGAAACTCATACATGTGACATACGGGCCTATAAGGCCGACATGACCATTTGTAAACTCAACACATAGGCCAATAAGGCCATACAAGTATCCATAAACCTGACTTCTGTCTACAAGCCTCTAAGAGTACATAAAATCATAAAGGTCAAGGGATGACCTCGCCATATCAATCAATACATATCCAAATCATACTGACCAAATAGGCAACTCCGGAGCAAGTGGAGTGCACAAACACCTCCGCTGAGCTGATAGCCTACTAGGAGGAATGTCAACCTATCAATTGGGACCTGCAGGCATGAAACGCAACGTCCCCAGGCAAAAGGTACGTCAGTACAAATAAAGTACCGAGTATGTAAGGCAGGAAAACATAAACAAGAACAATAATATAAAGAGAGATAGAAGAGATACGACCTGTAACATCTGCGTGCCTCTAGGGCTACTGACATGAAATGCATAACACATATATATACATAAACTTTTAAAAACATACGCCTCTGTAGGCATCATCATCATCATATCGTACCCGGCCTCGAAGAGGACTCGGTAAAAACGTACCTGACCATCATAAGGCTCGGTAGAATCGTACCTGGCCACGTGGAGCTCGGTAAATCCAACTGATCAGTGGTTGCACAATAGGTGTCGTACCCGTCCTACTATAGCGCGTCCCGGTAGAGTAAAATAGATACTATATATTATGCATGCTAGACTCATTGAATCACGTTCCAAACCTTTTGAAGTGACTTAAGGTCGTTGCACCTTCGATTAACATTATGGACATCATACCATCAATATGAGCTTCTATAGGATTCAAGGATCATACATACTTTCTTAAAATAACTTTATAAGGAAAGAACAACATGGGCAACCTTAGTTTCTAGGAGTAGATCCGTTATGAAATAGCATATTCATTTCACTTTAGATCATGCCAAAAGAAAGAGGGAAGTGCCTTAACATACCTTAACCATGGCGAGTACTTAATACCTCCCAAGCTACTCTTCAAACAACTCAACTCAATCTACCATTGCATACGGAGATTCAAAATCTATGTTGAATAAAGGCTAAGTCTGCAACTTAAACTTGTAGGTCGTTTATATAAATTCGGCCACCATCTCCCCTACAACAAGAGCCTCCTCCAATATCATATCCCAACAACAATTATCAGATAAATCCAGCAATACATAATTATTAATAATAAGATACCATAAAAAAACAACAAGTCATAACTATTTTACGACGAGCGACAAGCTCCAATTGGAAATCGTATACCCTATATCATCCCTTATAGACTTTTTACTTTAACTTAATAGTATCATTAACATGATAATGAAGTCATTCATCAATAATTCCAGCCTTATACCATATATCTATAACAAAAAAAATGATCCACAACTCCAATTATTCTTAATTAGCTACTTTATACACTAGTTCATCCATTTAACTTAACCAATGCCAAGATAACCTTAAGCGCATGTAAGAACACAATATAATACCTCCTACAATGGATTCAAGTCAAAATCCATATTATATTTAGATTACAACAGCCCAACACACCCCAATCAATTCATACCAAAAACGACGACTATAATAGTGTCCAACACCCCGAAAATATTACAAAGAATGACTAATCCATCATTTCGCCATTAAGTGGTGTTTCTCCACACCATTTATCCCCCGAAAACTTCATTAAATATCAGAAAAATATACAGCCCAAAAGCTACACGAAACATCCCACAAAACAGTCCATTACAAATCAAATAACTCGAACTCACGGCTTTCGATCACCATCCCGTGAGTTCTAACTATTATGAAATGAATTAATCAACCTTACTTGATATTTAAGAGCTTAAAACCAGAAATTAAGAATTTTATTAACTATTAAATACCTTTCAAAACTCAAACTACAAAGAAAAGAGATGCAATATAGCAATACTTACGCAGTGGGGATCGTTCTAGTGTTGTTGCTTCTTGATTTCGTGCCCGGGATGATGGTATTGTTTGAAACCCTTGTAGAGAGCTTAAGGGTGATGTTATGGGTCTTATTTGTTTGTACTCTCTGGAAATATGCAGAAAGAGACGAGATAAAGGAGATAATCTCCATTTTGTTGAAAAGTCAAAAGGTACTATTTGGCACCCTATAATTGGCTCGTCTTCCAACACTTATAACTTTTATCCGGGTGTCGTATGAGTAAACGGTTAAGAGCATTGGAAACTACATTCCAAGGCCTTCAATTTAGTATATAATATGTACCAAAAAGACCTCATATAGCACACGAAATGTATTACTCAAAAAGCTTCATTACAAGGCAAATCATAAAGTCGGTTTTTTCGCAACTTAAATTCGATTTTTCTTAAACTTTATACTTCATATACAAACATCATATATAGTCATATCATACCTTTAAACACATTTAAATCATGATTAACAAGTCTCATATTCATCTTAACTTGCTTAACACTTCGACAAACCTTTCTTATCCTTGTAGAAGGATTTCATCCTTTTGAGCTTACATCAATTGACTCACGACGTACTTTCAGGTACAAAAACATGGGTAGTAACATTATTCCCCCCTTTGAAATATTCGTCCTCGAATGTTGTCTGATCCGCTTCTCATTCTCATACCATATGACTCTTAAGAATAATTTAATATTGTCCTTTGTCATCTAGGTAATTGTTCTCTGAATAAATTTGAAAACTAGGGCATTCCCCCCTTTAGGCCTATTCTCACCTCACGAATTATGGCCGGAGTTCTTCCAATCTCTTAACTTCGACTACCTTCTATGATTTATCCTATATGACTGTCCAGCTTTTTGCCAATCTCCTGGCTTTACTTTGTGAATACATATATAGAACTATGACATGATGTCCCTCTGGGCATATATAGGTATATTTAAGCTCTTTGCTTGGTACTTTTTTGAATGTACGACTACTGCTATATTTTGTTTTATAGCCTTGATATTATTACTGAGGTGTGCTACACAACTCTAGGTTACTTCCTCATTGCTTGTCCCATAACCTGTCGGCGCAACCCTGCCATATTAGGAACATATAATCGACCTTGATATCTGAGTACTCCATCTCACCCTACCACATTAGGAACATATAATCGACCTCGATATCTAAGGACTCCATCTTATGCAATCTCAAATAGTGTCTTCTCCTTTTGAAGGGTTGTATCTCTTTAATGATCTAGCACATGATATTCATACTGACATTCCTTCACTTCAGTTACTAAAGAGGAGGTTTCCATGTCCTAAGTAGTAACTCTGGTACCACCTGTATCTAGTAATCGAATTCCAAGATTAGCTAGCCGATGA